CAAAAAACATGGGTACACTTTCAGTTGTTGTGAAATCTTTCATCACCTTTCAATGCCTTAGCTTTGAAATGTAAATGTTTATACATATTCAGATTGAGTTATCTTTCTAAAATGTGTATAGTATGCCAAGTTATTTAGCTACATGTATTTACCACCACAGCATGGAGAAAGTCAAGAGGAAGCAGTGGAGTGAGGTGGACATGTTCCATGCCATGGAGGACTGCAGGGCAGGGATGGCTATCTGCCAGGCTGCCAAGGTTAGGCATCTTTTGTTTTTAGGAGATTACCATGTGTATGTGAATTTTATCTGCTAGTAACTGTTTTATTTTCTTATCTACCAAGGTGCATGGTGTACCTCGGCAGACCCTGGCGGACAGGCTGAGCGGCCGGGTGACCCATGGTTGTCACAGTGGACCACCCACATTGCTTGCACAAGAGGATAAATTATCTGGTGCAGTACTGTATCTACTGCGCCAGCCATGGGTTCCCCTTCACCAGACAGAGGCTGATGAAATACGCAGACAAAATATGCACTTATTTGGTGTTTATGTATGTAGATTGGTGGACTGACTGTTCTCAATGTGTGTGATGTAAATGTGGATGTGTATGGTGATGCCAAAACAAACATTTTCATCCTGGATGGACAATTATATATTCATTTATATTGTAGGTTTTGGTACCCAGGGGAAACAATCCCACCACTGGGGAAGAGGTGGTGGGAAATGTTCAGGAGGAGGCACAAGAACCTGAGCATGAGGCGGCCGGACAACCTGGACAGGGGGAGAGTTAGTGTGCCACACGTCCAACGATGGACACCTTCTTCACTTCTTATGAGAAGCACTTGGGGGAGAGTGGGTTGAGGGAGAAACCCAGACAAATCTATATCCCAAGTGTTTCCCTGGTGGCCACTACACACTGGGAGGGCCACTACACACTGGGAGGGGCCACTACACACTGGGAGGCCCCCCCCCCCCCCCCAAGCCTTGTATGGACGGTCAAGCAGTGGCTACATTGACGGGGACCTGTTCAGGAAGTGGTTTCAGCACTTCATTAAGCATGCAGTGAAAGAGCGCCCTCTTCTTCGATGGGCACAAGAGCCACATGGACCCGGAGGTGCTCGCGGCGGCACTAAGGGAAGGGGTTATACTTCTTTGTCTTCCACCACACTGCACCCATGTCCTGCAGCCGCTGGACGTGGCATACTTTGGCCCTTTAAAGGCTGAGTTCTCCATGGTAGCTGGAGACCTTAGCCATTTTGACCACTCCTACATGGTAAACAAATCAGAATTTGCCAGAGTATTCCGCTACCCGTACCAGCGAAGCAAGGACATGCGCTATGTGGTGGAAGGGTTTAAGAAGTATGGCCTCTTCCCTTTTGACCCTTCAGCCATTGAAGGGTCCCGTTTAATGCCGCCTCGGTCCCTACCGGGTCCCACCACCGCCTCTCCTGGAACCAGCAGCACTGTGCCGTCCATCAGCACCTCCTCCCCAGTGACCACAGGAGGACCCTCAGCCCCTGCTCCAGTCCCAGCCCTAGCTCTAGAAGAGCACCCCCTAATAGGGGGGGGGGGGGGGGGCTGATAGCGAAGGACCTGAGGCACATCCTTACTATCCTGAAGTATCGGCTGGACCGATACAGAAGACTCCCTGTGGTCGCCACATGCCTCACCGGGGAGGAATACACGCGCCAGTGGCAGGAGAGGGGTGAGAAGGAGAGGGCCGAGGCAGAGGAGAAAGAGCGTCGGGCAGCCCTCAGAACACAGAGGGCACAGGAGAGGGCTGCCATGGATGAGACCATTGATGCCATTGCCTCTGCTGGACACCCTGCTGGAACCACTCTTGACAGCTGCATCACCACTGCCAGTGCCTCCCAGTGTGCAACACCTGTAGGAGCCACCGGAGTCCCCAGCTGCAGAAGGCAGCCACGTGCCTACTCTCCCGGCCACACCATCGTCGGCCCCTCAACCCCACCATTACAAACACCAGCTCCTCCAAGCCATCGTCGGCGGTTTTGTCCACCACCACCACGATGCACACCACCCCCCTGTCTGTCACCTCCAACACGGCCTCCTCTGGACCAACTGCCTCCTCCGTCTCCCCTTGTCACACCACCATATAAGCCACGTCTGGTGTCCCTGCCCCCTGCAATTTGAATACCGCCACCACAGGTAAACACATGTTAAATTACGAAAAAATGACTTCAAACAGCAATGTGTAAATAAATAAATAAACTCTCTTTACATATCTACAGTCCATAGCACCAACCCTCAAGTCATCTCCAACTCCTCCAAAACCTCTGCAGCTTCCTGCAGAGGTATTAATGTAAAAAAGTTGAAGGGTTTTCATGCAACTGTCTAACACTACTTTTTCTCAAACTGCAGCACAGAAAAGGAAGAGAAAAGCTCCACTGGTCACGTCACCACTCTCAGGTACTTCATAATCTGTTTTTCTCTCTCAGATGTATCAATTACTATTGTTGTTGAAGAACTTCTACATTTTACAAAACCATATTAATCCATTTTTATTATTATTTTATATAAAAGAAGACACTACCTGCTGTGCTCGCTGCGAGGAGCATGATCCGCCAGCAAGCTCCCCTCAGGAGTGTAGATCCGAGGTGCCATGGGTGTGTGTGACTTCTGCAGGTTTGTGCAGTGGGATCCAGAGGTAGCGGTGGAGCTGGATTTTTATTGTGATTTTTGTGACAATATAGGGATGGAGGTCGAGATTTAATTGTTTGTTTTGTTTATGTTCATATGAAATTATTTGTACAAAAACAAAAGTCTAAAATATAATATATATTTATTCAACCCATCTTGTGTATTTCTTCCTTTACTTTCCAAGTGCACCTCTGCAACACAAACTCCAACAGTGTTTATTGTTTATGTCAATGCACATAACTGAAATTAACGTTTTATTTGATGTAAATTATTAATACTCATATTTTAGTATTCAACTGTTATCTACTTTCTCAAAACATAAAAATTAATCTGTAAAACAAATGAGACATTATTTGGTTACAACACTGAATATGTTGGTGAAGAACCATTTTTTAAGAGTCCACAGGATGGCGCACCGGGCTACGCAATGAAAAGTTGACAGGCAAGTTATTATTTTTTACCGGAAGGCTAGCCAACTACTCATCCTGTGGACTCTTAAAAAATGGTTCTTCACCAACATTCAGTGTTGAGGAAACTGAACTTGAGCCTGCTTGAAACATGGGTTATGTTTTGGTTGACCAAGAGTCGGTATATTGCAGGTTGGTTCTTTATATGCACTGTAGGTTCGTTAGTTATTCTACCTATAATAATTATGCTGAGATTACTGACGCGGATTTTTTTTTTTTTTTTTTTAGATCAGGTGATTAAGCCTTGCTAATAGGAGTAGCTAATTGGTTGCGTCAGTAATCTCTGCATAATTATTTTGCATATAAAAGAACCAACCTGCGATATACCGACTCTTGGTCAACCAAAACAAAACCCATGTTTCAAGCAGGCTCAAGTTCAGTTTCCTCAACTTGAGCATTATTCAGCATAAAAAAGATTCATGTTTACATTTGTTGCGGAGGCGTTTCCTATTTGTGCAGTGGCCTTTGCCAGAACGTGTAGTTACCTAGCTAACCAACTAATTACGTACCGTACCGGTAAATTAGAAATCTAGTTAGCTGGTCCACAGTTATACAATAGCTCTATAACTTCATTCAAGTTTTTCCCGCATCAGAATATAAACGGACTGAATGTAAATATGGGGCGGGGGGGGGGGGGGGCTGTACATTGAGTTTTTAGCCATTAATTCGTTTTCAAAATCCTGGACAACTCAGTAAAGAAACTCACCATGTTGAACAGGAGGCTGGAAAAAGGACCGAAGTACGGGTGCCGACCGAACTATATCTCTCCAGCACCCTGGGTGTTGTGAACGACACAGAAAGCACTCCCTGTTTATTTGTTTTTAATATATAGAAAGTTAATATAATTATGCTATCATCAAATAAATCAACTAATTAATTATGTTGGTTCTACAAAATAACAACAATATTTTTCCGCGGAAGGATATGGGGCATCCGGTGTCTTAGATAGTAGTAGTCCGTATTTCTCATGACGCATTTCCATGAGTCCGCAATTTACAAACATTTGTTTGTTACTATCGAATTTCCTCTGTTGGTGTTACAAATTGACTGGCACTTCGCTTCGGGATTCCAATACTTATTTTTCAATGCTAATTGGAAATTATTTAAATTTGCTTAACGGAAGAAGCATGCGTCCATGTTTTCCTGTCTGTCCTGGACAGCGAGAAATATCTCTAAGAAAGGGAAGATTTGCCATTATGTTAATTCGCATAACACTTGCTTTATTTGCATAATGCATCGTTTCTGCAAGTGGGTGTTGATAAACCACTATGTACATCATCACAAGTTACTCATTTTATAATATTGTTCATTCCTTGATAATGATTGCTTTATCGATGCATAGCATTTTTCCTAGCACTTTATTTTTGGCACATTGGCGGCGCAGTGTGTGCAGTCTGGCGTGCCCCCTAGGTCTGTTTACCCCTAGAATGTTGCTAGGAGACCATACACAAACTCATTTTGGGGAGATCCCGCTGTCATATCTCTAGAATTCACACAGGTAAGACACTGCAACATGTTAGTTGTCGCAAATACATTTACGGGTTGTTTGCAAACTGCATGGACATATCTGGCTCTGGACATGACCATATGACAGTGAGAAATTGCATCATAGAATGAATGGAATATTAGCTAGGTGGCTAGCAGGATTTTACTATGTGTTTGCTTTGTTATTGGACAATGACTACCAACTTGATGTTAATTAAATGTTTAGGCTGTTTTGTGTGGGTTGCTCATTTTTTTAAAGTCTGTCTGTCTGTCTTAACTCTTGGCTACCCATTCTGAATGAAGAGGGCGAGAAAGTGAAGTGGGTCGAGTGACACCAAAACAGCACCCCAGGAGGAGCTTGAGAGAGAGGAACCATGCCAAAGAAGGGTGCAAAAAAGGGGGGAGGGGGGAAGCAGGCAGGGATGACGGAGGAAGAGAGACTCCTGTACATGCAGCAGAGGGCCCAGGCAGAGGACGAGATGGCCAAAAGGAAGGAGGACATGCTAACTCAATTCCTCAAGGTATGTTCAAGAATGTAAACCAATGAAAAGTCACACAGCCCGATGCAACTTGTTAAGCCTATTCTATTCTCAAAATGTCCTTGCATGACCTCTAAGTACCCCTCCCCGTCATCTCTAACCATAATGCAACCAGGATAAGCTGCAGAAGGAGGAGCGCAACAGTGCAGTGAACCTGCACAAGTTGACGCAGCAGTGGCGAGCAGTTCTCCGCCAGACACGGGCAGCTGAACTGCGCAGTGACATTGCTGTGCTCAGCCAGACCTTTGAGAGGGTGCTGGACCGGAAGGACAGTGTCATCAAGGTTAGGTATTTATTTATTTCCACAAACATCTGTGATTTACTTCTTGTTGGACTGTGTGTGTGACACAGAAGGCTGCTGAGGGGAGGACGGCTCATAATAATGGCTGGAATGGAGTGGTATCAAACATATGGAAACCATGTGTTTGATGTGTTCGATACCATTCCATTAATTCCGTTCCAGCCATTTAGGTATCACTGGCCGCCTGTGGTGTGACAGTCTATATCTCTTTCTCTCTGTGCTGTAGTGTTTGGTGTGTGACCTGAGTGAGGCGGAGCAGCAGTCAGCCCAGGCCCTGCGCTCTCACCTGCAGTGTGTGGACTGTCTGCTGGCCTTGCAGAAGGGTAGGCTGGCATCCCTGGAGCAACAGTGGAACAGCAGCCTGGAGGGACTGAGCTACGAGTTCAATTCTGAGAGGTGTGTGTAAAACCTTCTCTCTCACACACACACACACCAGTCCAGTTGTCTAATAGACAGAGAGAGACACTATACACAGTTCTGCACAACAATTAATATAACTGAATTATGCTGCACTAAACTACTGAATTGAAAAGCTTTTCTAACCTCGATGCAAGTTTGATATTTACTAGATAGTGATGCTCTGTGTTGTATGTGAATTGAAAGGTGTGTGTGTTTGTGTGTGTCACAGGCGACCGGTGGCACCTTAATTGGGGAGGACGGGCTCATAGCTTCTTTATTGAGGAAAAGTGTACTTACTGTGATATGTGGTTGTCTCACCTGGCTATCTTAAGATGAATGCACTAACTATAAGTCGCTCTGGATAAGAGCATCTGCTAAATGACTTAAATGTAAATGTGTGTGTGTTTCCCAGGGAGCAGATCCTGTCCCAGCACCAGCAGGAGTGTGCTTACCTGGAGGATGTGACCTTTGCCATGGAGCAGTTCTACATGGAGGTGGACGTGGAGGCCCGCCAGGACTACCAGAGCACCAGAGACGACATCAAGAACAGGGTAGGGGTCTGGCTCAGACAACCAGCATCAGTTTTTTTTCCCTCTGGTGGGCCCCTTTAATTTCCCCTCTCTCCATCCTGAGATCCTCACAATTGGTCTAGGATAATCTCTCCTCTTTAGCATGCTAGCAGATACCCATAGACTTCCAGTCATTGGGCTAATGCTAGTTAGCATTGGCTCACGAAACTACCTCTAACTTCCTTCATACTGGACACAGACATAAAAATGGTATCCACGAGTTCATCTGACTCTGGGGAAGTTGATAAAGGGCCTCATTGCCAAAATCCCGAAGTATCCCTTTAACCTTAGTCATTATGAACAACAGAACAAAACAAGCCTTGAACCAGCTGTTAGGGGATATTGTGTGAGCCGGCTTACATGCCCTGTCTGTGATCTGTGATCTCCTTTCCCTCTCCCATTAGAACATAGAGGAGAAGCATGCATTGAGGATCCAGTTAGAGGGGACGGTGGAGGGCCTGTGGCGTCAGTTCCAACAGGCCCTACGCAGCTACAACGAGGCCACAGAGGACCGTCATGTAGCCTTTGAGTCGTTGAGGACCCGCGACCAGCGCAGCGCCCAGGAGATTGACACGCAGATGAGGAGGCTGCAGAAGATGCAGGTCAGTGTTGGGCTACAGAGACTACTGTTCCTATAGGGGCCAATTCAGATTTAGGAAATATGTCTTTTTAACATGTTTTGATTGAAGCACTTCTCAGTATCTGGTATTCAAACTTACTGTATGCAGGTGCGCAATAAACTCTTTGGGCGTGGCTCCTATATGCGCACTGAATACATTTAATTAAACAGCTGAAAAACCTCCCACTTGTTGGCCAACAGATTCTCATGGAGTTTTCATTTAATAGGGTTTTCAGTACATTTATCAAAAGCCATCCCGTTAAATACGGTGTACCTTTTTTAATTGTAATTTTCTCAACAGACTCACTAGAATATATCGAGAGAACGGGTTCCGATTATTAGGGATCAATGAAGAAAGTCATCAAAATATATTCATCATATTAGTCTCCATTTAGTAGATTTAAAACTATGTAGCTTATTTAGGGTTAGGAAAGTATATATGAATCTACCTACTTAATAAATCAATAAAACAGATTTGGAGAGTCTTTATGCACAAGATATATTGGTGAATAAAAAATACAAAGGTTTGGTTCATCCTGAAAGTTGCCATATTCAGTTGTTCAATCCATGAAATATTGGAAGGGGAGGAAAGTGTACAATAGTGGTTGAACAACAGTCATATAAATCTACCTTTATCCTCACTGATGATGGAACTGTGATGACAACAGTCCAGTTGTCGTGAACCGTGCTCCAGGTTTAAACTGCCACATTGTGTCTGCGTTCCACAATTACTCAAATAGGCTACATGTCCCAAATTATTGGACAACTTGTAATTAAATATTATTCACTATTGCTAGCGACCCTCCGCAACAACCACATGGACATGACATTTACAAAGGTAAAAAATAAAGGTAGGCAAAATCAAACAATGGAATGGTACGAAATGTAGGGTAGGCCTACTAACTGAAGGGAATGAACCCTAAATTGGCAGTTAAATATGTGTGGTTATTACTTACGGTCGCTACCGATAGAAAATTATAGGAAACAGGAAAAGTTGGGGAATATAATTGAAACATTCTAGAGCGCACAAAGGTTAAATTTGGCGCGACTGTCATTCTGCTTGGCTTTGCATCTCCAAGATTCCTCCCTAACAGTTATAAGGCCATACGAGTTCAATTATGCATAGCGGCACAGCATTTCATACTTCACTGTGGGAAAGGGGCATAAATACCTGTCAGGTTGATATGCTTTTCAGTTTGCAGCCATATTACAGATTTCAAATTTGTCCCTAGCGATCATAAGGTAAAATAGATCTAAAACAATTGTCATTTATATTTAAAATCCCCTTATCCAAACGGATTACTCATTTACCTAGCTATTATCAATAGCGCTTATCAATTTATAAATTAAAGGTCAGAATACACATCGAGAGAAAAAATTCATAAAAAGGGAATTAAGTTCCATTTATGGACACGTAACTCAAGTCTGAATTCCCCCTATAGAGAATACAGGGTCAAGAGGACTACTCTGTGCAAGTCTACCAAATGAAAATAGAATGCTTGTTTTGCTCATCTCTGTGAATATATTTTCTATGTGATTGTATTATTACCTTTATTTGAATAGAGTATTCATTCATGCATGCCCTCTGTGTATGTCAGCATGAGTGCTCGTTTCCCACTGTATTTGTGTCTCCTCCCTCCCCAAGGACTCCATCTCTGCTCTGCGCTCCAGGCTGAACTCCAGCCAGAGGGAGAGTGAGGGGGCAGCACGGGGCCTGAGGGTGGCGAGGGAGGAGGTGACCCTGCAGGCTCGCCAGCTCAAGACCCAGCTGAGCTGTGCCCGCGCAGCCGAGAGGAACCAGCTCACCAACCTCACCGTGCGCAGCAACGCCGCCGCCAAGAAATTACAGGGCATCATCACTAAGGTGCTAACGTTTATGCATGTGGACACATGCAGTTGCAAAGTGTGTAGTGCCTGTCTAGGCATGCAGTATGTACATTAGTGTGTATGTTTAGCAGCCAAACATACACATGCTTTGACTTACATATGCATACATAGACAGCAAATATGCTATACAGTCACACTTATGCATGTGTACTGACTGACACTCACTTCTTATGAATTCTCACATTTGCTCACTGACATTTACACTCACACCCTGTCCTCATTCTGTCCTGTGTGATGTTGTGGATCAGGGGGAGAGGCTGCTGCGTCTGGCTGAGATGTGTCGTAAACTGGAGACAGAACATGAGAAAGTCCTGCCCTTCTACACCTCCTCTCTCACTGCTGAGGAAGAGAGCCAGGAGAGAGCTAATGCTATGGAGCCTCCATCTGAGGAGCTGGCACAGGTATTTGTAGTTCTGTATTATACACACACTGTTCTGTTCTTTGACTCTCACTTAACTTCTCATTTGTAACCCTGTGTGCTCAGGCCATGCTGGACTATTCGGTTCTGGAGAGGTTCTGGCAGCGTTATAACAAGGTTCTGCTGGAGCGGCTGTGTCTGGAACAGGAGAGAGGAGCTCTGACCCGGGAGAACCAGCAACTGCGGGTCTTACTGCGCCAGTACCTGGACGGCATCTCCGTTAGCGACGAAATCCTCCGCCATCGCAACCCCCTGCTGATGGTGTCACGGCCCACCCTCGCCGTTCAACCCACTGCTGACGCCCAACGCAAGCGCCACACTGTCATTGAGGCAGCACACATTGTGCAGCGCACACTGTAGACACACAAAATAACAGGCTCACATCACACACACCATCACTCCTAGATGAACTTCAAAAGGTGTTCAAGTTGTACACTGACTAGGAGTAACTATAACTTCAAACTGCCAGAATGCACTCCTTCTGGCAGAACTCAATTCCTTATTCTATTTTTGTGTACTTCTTTCTACCAGGTGTCTTACAATAACTATCAAATAAAAAAGAGGAATATTCCATCCGATAATAACAACTCTCCCTTATTGTTTTTACATTTTATTATTTAAATAGTTCTGTGAGTTTCCTTTATTTCTTCTTGCTCTTCTTGTCCTTGGCCTTCTTCTTGCCTGGCCGCTGGGCGTTGGCCTTGTTATAGAGGTAGAGGCCCACCATGCCCAGCAGAGTGGGAACCAGGCCCAGACACACTAGGGGAAAGACATCATTCACAATCTTCTGCCATGGGGTTGCCTGGATCAGTGACATCACCTCCACCTCAAACTCTAGAGCAGCATCAGCTAACAGGACAGAGGGAAGAAGATCGAGGGAGGATCAAGTACTGAGTCGTGTGTGTGTTGCTGTGCTCAGCCAGACCTTTGAGAAGGTGCTGGACCGGCTAGTCAAGTGTTATCAAGGTGAGATATTTATTTGCCGTATGTGTTTGCTTGTATTATTGTGTGTACAGTATGTGTGTATATGCAGATGTGTTTAAGTACCTGGGATGGTGGGAGGGTATCCTCTCTTTCCATAGGCAAGGTGTGGTGGAATAGTGGTCTTGATTTTTTGTCTAGAGGACCATAAGACAGACAGAGGTTATTCTCATAGAGTTTCCTGTTTACCAAAGTCATTTGAGTCAGGATCTTTGTGATTGCTTCACATACTGGTAATATCTATATTTGAAACTAATTGTCCTTGCTTAGCCAAGTCATATATTGAATTCCTAGTGGAAGTGGTTTTAAATTAATGTAGGCTACATGTCCACTTTAAAATGTTGTATTGGCAGACCTTGACTGTTTACTTACCCTTCACAAACTCCTACCAAGCTCTGTTCCAGACCTGTTGGAGATACATTATCACGTTATCTATATACAGTGAATGATGCGATAACAAAAACACTGCACTGCAGGTGTGAGCTATATTTGAAGGTATATTGCTGTTTTTAACATAAGCTAGTGTTCCTGTTATTTTGTGTGATCAATATCATGTCTAATACGGTCTATTTGAATGGTTGTGATTTTACCAGGGATAACGGTCCTCTTTCCCAGCACAACAACAAGGGGGTCCCGGGACAGGGATGAGTCAATCACCTTGCCATCCGCCAGCAATTTACCCTGTTCAGAGCATTGGAACAATATGGTAGGTGCATTTTAAAAGAGGGATTTTGCATGCAAGCAGTGATTCTAATCTAAATAGAAGGTTAAGATGCATATCCCCTTCAAGTCACATTAAAATGTGAAACACTTGACAGACTTTTAAAACTTTCTTTATAGGTGTGGCTGCACTGGGCACACGCTGGTTGAATGAACGACCACGTCGTTTCAATGAAATCACGTTGAACCAATGTCGAATAGACGTTGCCCAGTGGGACGTTAGGTGAGGCCATGGTCAAGCATGACGCGTCATAGGTGAAGAGTTTGGTCACAGATTATACATTATATTGACCAGATACTCTAGTGGACGCTTTAACACTGAAAATAATTACAGTCTTTTCACAAATGGAAGGCAGTCGGGGACGAGGCAAAACAGGTGGGAGGTAGCATTCTAGCCAATGTGAGGGCAGAAGCGTGTGAACAACAGGCACAACGGTTTTCACTCGTTAACCGCCACAAAGTCAAAAATGGGCTATATCGTAAAAAATCTGGAAAACAAAAATGTGCTTTTGTTTTAATGTAAGGTTATGATTAGGCATAAGGTTAGCAGTGTGGTTAAGATTAGAAAAAACGCCACCTATTGGAGAAGACAGATTTTGTGCCCAGTTATCCCTCGTTTCGCCTCGTCCTTTGATGTGGTCGTGTTCCCCTGCTCAGACGTTGCTGAGGCGTGACAGATCTTACAACGCCTGGTTAGGTATTTTACGAATCAGCTAACCACATATGTTCTAGAAATCTGGTACTGAGCAAGAGTGCTGACGTGTTGCACCTCCCCCATCACACTGCCGAGTAGAATGTCTGGCACGCATAAAACGTGTCAATATCACATGCAATTTACTTGCCATCCCAGATATGATTACAAACTAAGTGTAATTGAAAGTTGTTTTTATTTGACTATTTGATTGGCACACGAATTTCCCAGTCTGAAGTGAAATTACTAACTTGCCGCTTCACACCTTGCCACATAGGCAACATCGTATCGAGTCAAGTTTATTGACGTGCAATGAATCAGCACCACTTCAATTGCAGAGAACACTTTTGATCAGATTTCATTTTTAAAAATCCCCAAAATATTATCGACATTTATCTCAGTAAGCATGTAGGCTAGGTCTGATGTCAAACAGGGCGGTGCCTAGCCTACCTTTGAAATTGAAAATGTTAGTTAGGCCATTCATTTACACTTTTTTTTTCTTACCGTATAGTGGATTTCTAGCGTGTCTCCCGTTTCTGACATTATAGAGCAAGTTTCGGGTTTCACCTTATGAAGGGGGAGAAAATTGAAAAAATAAAATCAAGTGTAAGATATTTGCATTCCAAATAAATAAATGCATCGTTTTATTACATAAAATAAGCGATACATTTACAACGTTAACAATGAAAAGCTGATAGGCCTTCATTGTTTCAATTTGGTCTGAATGTTGCAATGCATTGCATTCGGCTCGTGCAAGATTCGCCACTTTCCTATCGCTGCTTTGGAGAGAAAATAGACTGAACTCACCAAGGTTTCCACAAATAACTCTTCCACAACATTTTGCCCGGCTTCAGCATCCTGTGCTGCAACATTAACGAAAGCAGCGAACAAGACTAGGATGACCCCAGTCTTGGCTTTCATTGTAAATCCGAACTTTTGGAAAACTATCCCAACTAACTTCAGTGAAGCTGTAGGGCATGCAAGCGCCGACGACTGACCATCGAAGGTAAAGCAGGCTAGACACCAGTTAAGGCTGATGTGTTGTTATAGTAGGCTATGGTGATAACGGGGCAGCCGAACCGCGGACGTTGTCCTAAAACACCTGGGTCGCTGAAGTGCCCGCCTTAAACATTCCGCCAGCAACCCAGAAGTCCCTTGCTGATGGGTAACGGTGCAGTTACATTCTTTGTGTCGGTTGAGGGCAGTTGTGAGTCTGATAAAAGCCTCAGCACTTAGGCTATGTCCTTTCAACTGGCCTAGGACCTGGCTACTTTCATCGCTATCCACTGTCTTGTGGTTCTGAAACGTCGTGATCACGGGGGACGGGAAGGGGGGAACGGGGGGTGGCGATCTGATCTGCGCTAATCAAATCAAATTGTATTTGCCACATGCGCCGAATACAACAGGTGTAGTATGATATAAGTTTGACTGCTTTAGTATTATATGCTACATTAGGTTAGGCATTAAGGTTAGGGAAAGGAGTTAGGTTAAAGGGTTAGCTACCATGCTAAGTAGTTGCAAAGTAGCGTGGGGATCTATTTTCTCATAACTGGATGTGATGACTAGCTTAGAAAGAATGCATTAATGATTAAGCATAAAAGGTTTGTACTGTACTGATATAAATTGTTTCACATAACAAGCTGTGATTCATGTGAGGAGCTGTTTTAGGGAGTAGGGGGAGATAAGAACTTGTGTCTCACAATACCCGAACACTGCCTCTTTGTTGTCTGTGAACCGTCCAAGGACGGGTACTGCAAAAAAGTGCTGACACTCTGGATAAGTTGCAAAATAACTAGACACTTGGCAACAGGGGAGCGCCAAGAGGCTGGGACCAGCCTGAGCGGCAGCGATGGGTTGGTTAAGTCTAAACCACACTCAACCTCTACCCTGATAGGCCCAGCAGAGAGCGGGAACTAAAACTGTCAGGGTATTTGAGGAAGAATTTGTAATGAGGAAGCCAGTTCTCTGTCTGCCCTGCGTGGTATTTCAGTGAGCCCGAATACGAACCATCATACTTATCATACATACATTTTGCATATAATAAATTTAGCTTGGATTGAATATCTCTTGATTTTCTCTTATTCCAATACCAGATTTGAATTACGCAATTTCTAACAGTAGCAAAAAAGTAGTAAGTAATTGCAAAGTTGCTAATTAGCTAAAATGCTATAGTTGTCTGTGATGAGATTCGAACACGCAACCTTTGGGTTGCTAGACTTTCGCATTATACACAGATTTTAGTAAAATATAAGCAGTCCTCCATAGGAAAATGTTTCAAGGACAAAATTACATGTATTTTTGTTGTTGTATTGGGGACAGTAACATTACAAATCTCTAAACAATATATATACTTTAAGGAAAATGATTTTATTTTTGTGTTTAGCTCACATATAATTTAAAAGGATGCATTAAGGTGTCTAATATAATACATGTGGCAAAAACGAATGTAGACACTAATAAATGCATTTCTATAGCTTCCAAAATATTTTTTTTATAATGGTGGGAGAGTGCCAAGATGGAGGCACGTTGGTTTCAACACAGCACCCCAAATCAGTAATCTGGTGTATACAGTGGGGAGAACAAGTATTTGATACACTGCCGATTTTGCAGGTTTTCCTACTTACAAAGCATGTAGAGGTCTGTAATTTTTTATCATAGGTACACTTCAACTGTGAGAGACGGAATCTAAAACAAAAATCCAGAAAATCACATTGTATGATCTTTAAGTAATTAATTTGCATTTTATTGCATGACATAAGTTTTTGATACATCCAAAAAGCAGAACTTAATATTTGGTACAAAAACCTTTGTTTGCAATTACAGAGATCATACGTTTCCTGTAGGTCTTGACCAGGTTTGCACACACTGCAGCAGGGATTTTGGCCCACTCCTCCATACAGACCTTCTCCAGATCCTTCAGGTTTCGGGGCTGTCGCTGGGCAATACGGACTTTCAGCTCCCTCCAAAGATTTTTCTATTGGGTTCAGGTCTGGAGACTGGCTAGGCCACTCCAGGACCTTGAGATGCTTCTTACGGAGCCACTCCTTAGTTGCCCTGGCTGTGTGTTTCGGGTTGTTGTCATGCTGGAAGACCCATCTTCAATGCTCTTACTGAGGGAAGGAGGTTGTTGGCCAAGATCTCGCGATACATGGCCCCTTCCATCCTCCACTCAATACGGTGCATTCGTCCTGTCCCCTTTGCAGAAAAGCATCCCCAAAGAATGATTTTTCCACCTCCATGCTTCACGGTTGGGATGGTGTTCTTGGGGTTGTACTCATCCTTCTTCTTCCTCCAAACACGGCGAGTGGAGTTTAGACCAAAAAGCTCTATTTTTGTCTCATCAGACCACATGACCTTCTCCCATTCCTCCTCTGGATCATCCAGATGGTCATTGGCAAACTTCAGACGGGCCTGGACATGCGCTGGCTTGAGCAGGGGGACCTTGCGTGCGATGCATGATTTTAATCCATGACGGCGTAGTGTGTTACTAATGGTTTTCTTTGAGGCTGTGGTCCCAGCTCTCTTCAGGTCATTGACCAGGTCCTGCCGTGTAGTTCTGGGCTGATCCCTCACCTTCCTCATGATCATTGATGCCCCACGAGGTGAGATCTTGCATGGAGCCCCAGACCGAGGGTGATTGACCGCCATCTTGAACTTCTTCCATTTTCTAATAATTGCGCCAACAGTTGTTGCCTTCTCACCAAGCTGCTTGCCTATTGTCCTGTAGCCCATCCCAGCCTTTTGCAGGTCTACAATTTTAACCCTGATGTCCTTACACAGCGCTCTGGTCTTGGCCATTGTGGAGAGGTTGGAGTCTGTTTGATTGAGTGTGTTGACAGGTGTCTTTTATACAGGTAACGAGTTCAAACAGGTGCAGTTAATACAGGTAATGAGTGGAGAACAGGAGGGCTTCTTAAAGAAAAACTAACAGGTCTGTGAGAGCCGGAATTCTTACTGGTTGGTAGGTGATCAAATACTTATGTCATGCAATAAAATGCAAATTAATTACTTAAAAAGCATACAATGTGATTTTCTGGATTTTTGTTTTAGATTCCTTCTCTCACAGTTGAAGTGTACCTATGATAAAAATTACAGACCTCTACATGCTTTGTAAGTACGAAAACCTGCAAAATCGGCAGTGTATCAAATAATTGTTCTCCCCACTGTATATGAATCATTGGCTGAAATGCAGCACTCCAAAGGAGAAGGGTGTAATTGTGGGCCGCAATTGCGGCGTTCCAGCATGTGGGCATTCCTGAATCTGCAGGAACCCCTCTATATATACTTCTATTGGTCCATTGTTAAACTAGGACTCCATTACACAGTCTGGAGGCGGGGGCGCTCCAGTACAGTAGGTGGCGATAATGCACCATAAAGTTGGATGCCAACCACCAATAAACCCCACAGAAGAAGAAGAAAGGGCGGGGGCGACAACGGTATCACAGAGAGAGCAATGAGCAGTTTGATTTAGTTTTAAATATCTTTGATGGTAGCTAGCTGGCTAAGACACCGGTATACAGTGTCCTTCGCCCCCGCCTGTCGTGCACTGCTTTCCCGCAGTTCTGTTAACGACAGCAAGTGCAGGTGTTCGGCAGGTGTTAGCGAAGGACACTGGGTGCTGGCTAGCCACTGGGCACACACTGGTTGAAATAATGTTGTTTCCACATCATTTCTATGAAATTACGTTGAACCAACGTGGAATAGATGTTGAATTAACGTCTGTGCCAGACCCCCAATGTACTGTCTGGAGCGTGATGTCATGAGCTCTGTTGGTTGGCTACTGCGTAGCAACCTAGCGGTGCCAAAAACCCTGGTCTGTCCTAGAAAGCCCATGTAAATTATGATCACCAGAACAGCCGAACAATTTTTTTTGACAGACGTTTTGGCCTCTAAAATGTGTTTATTATGATCAATTAGATCCCCATGGTGAATTATTTTAAAGTTTGATACAAATCGAGATATTTAATTAAATAGTGATCCATTCTGACTACTACCTTTGTCGTCACACAGGACCACGTGCTAACACAGACCAATCACGGGCCGGAAGGCTACCAGGAGGCTTGCGCCCTCATGCATGCTCTTTGCACGTGCACCTAAGGGGGTGTGGTGTGCTCATAGGTTGACCCTCTCAAGCAGGATGAAAACGACTACATCCACCATGATCCTTTGCTAGTTACGGCCACTTTCACCATGATCCTTAGCGTTTTTTTTTTGGTTCCATTCAGCACCGTTCAGCAATATGGCACGCTTCAAATTCAAATACTTCCGGCTTCATGCGCCATCGGGGTTTTTCCATAGGAATACGTGGATGACATCAGCGCTATCACTATCTACTGGTTTTAATGTCTTGGTCCTTCATTTATAAGCATACTTTTTCTCCACACATATATTATATATGGAATAATCGGGACGTATTGTATAAAAATACTTATTTGTTTTTAGAATATTGGTTCCGAAATAATATCCTATTGGTGAGCCAACTTGTAAATGCAGAGGGTATTTTACTTAATTATAAGGAATTCTTATCACTTTACAAGATCCCTGTAACACCTAAAGATTTTGCAATTGTTTTAGATGCCATTCCCTCGGGGGTGTTGCTTTATTATTCAGGAACGTGTCAAGAACTGACCCTCAGAACATACCTACGATTAACCCTGTTGACTCATCAGTAGGAAAGATTTGTTTTTCTTTTGGTCCATTCAACAACAATAGAGCTATACGAGCCTTGTTTCAGCAGGATGTTGTATCTATACCTTATGTCATGCCTTATTGGAACGGTTTTATTGATAATATCTATTGGAAAAAAGTTTGGATGTTGCCACACACATACACTACCGTTCAAACGTTTGGGGTCACTTAGAAATGTACTTGTTTAAAAAATATAAAAATAAATAGTTCATTAAATAGTACCCGTAAAACACCAGTCTCAACGTCAACAGTGAAGAGGCAACTCCGGGATGCTGTCCTTCTAGGCAGAGTTGCAAAGAAAAACCCATATCTCAGACTGCCCATCTTAATCTTTTATTTTTATTGGCCAATCTGAGATATGGCTTTTTCTTTGCAACTCTGCCTAGGTCAGCATCCCGGAGTCGCCTCTTCACTGTTGACATTGAGACTAGTGTTTTGCGGGTATTATTTAATGAAGTTGCCAGTTGAGGACCTGTGAGGCGTCTGTTTCTCAAACTAGACACTAATGTATTTGTCCTCTTGCTCAGTTGTGCACCGGGGCCTCCCACTCTTTCTATTCTGGTTAGAGCCAGT